TGCATTTTGTGAATTCGTTAATTATTATTTTCGTTTTCATTTAGGAAGAGCAGTAGGAAAGGGTGTGAAGAAACCGTCGACAAATATAACAGAAAAAGCGACCAAAATTGAGAAGGCGAAATCTGAACAGGGTGGAATCATACTGGACCTGATTGCTTCACTGCTTTAGAATGTATGATGATGGAACAACCGATGTGTTATTTCTAGTTTTCTATTAATAAATATATCATTGTTCCATGATGATCATGTTCTACAAATCTTACACTTCAGTTTTCATATTTAAATACGATTCTGTTTGATTGTTAGAAGTATTGACAGTCCGATAAAGGAAACGAATAGTGCATTGTCATCCAAACGTCTGTAGTATGCACCCATCTGTCATTCAATCCTGGTATATTTTGCAAACAACTCCAATTTCAATGCTCCAGTTTGTTTTCTCAAATATTCTCAAGCACTCAGTATGTGATTTTCATTTGCGTTGAACGTGATAAGAATAGATGTTGAATTTTTCCTACTTGTCCTAGAAACTTTCAAACTAAAAATACACAGTGAACGAGGAATGTGACTGGTCAGTAATGTGACACTGATAATAATAAGTAATCAGTCTGATTTGACAAGGAATATTCTTCCTTCTGTTGATCGAACATGAAAAATTCCTATTCACTATGTTGTAAGCTATTCCCACCTTTCGCAATACATAGAATCGATTGTTGTGTGTTTCCATACTACGGGAATACTGGTAGTTACTGGATGATCAGTGAGGTACTAACAACTCAAATACATCTGGAAACATTGTTAGTGTTGGTATGGAATGGAATAGATGCACTTCACGTTTGCCACAAAAAAGCAGGAAGTGCTGGGACTCAGGTAGAAAAAGACTTCTACCTGAAGTTTGTGCCGATTATGTCGTTCAAAAGAACGACGAAAGCTCCACGGACCAACAATCCAGCTCAGAGGATATGACTCCATCTAAATGCTAGGACTTCTTCGCTCTCTAATGCCAATAATTTCTCATTTCGTTAAGAGTTTACATTCAGTGTAATAAAGACACCGGTCGGATCACTGGTGGGTGCATTGCATTATAGATGAAGAAATCTGATTAAATCTGTGCTTTGAAATGCATCATTTGCATTGATTTTCCAGACTTCAGATAACTAGCTTGTTCTAAAATATCAATCTGTAGTTTACTTTCCCGGATGTAAACTACACCTTACTAAGTAAACTAGAATGGAACTCTGAATAAATCATCAGATTACCCCAAAAATGAAAGACTAATTTGAGGTGAAATTTCACTGACACATCTACAGTTAACAAGAGTCTATGGTAATTTGCTGTCGAGCAGATTAATGGAGGTTTACGTAAATGAGAATAGGAATTAGTGGTTGGGTTTATTTGTTACTTTTTCACTGTCCAAGTGATGTGTTTTATCCAACATTTTCAGTCATTTTTGCGATCAATAGGTAGGTGAGTACTACATATCAGAGTGTCATTCTTCATAAGTGTACAATCTTAAAGCTTTGAAAGTGAACTCGTCGTCAAAACTTTCATTGTTCGATGAATTATTTCATTATTTATTGGGTAATTTTAAATGAAGTGTAATATAATATTAATTGTAGTAAGATGATTATTAATAAATGCACAGAGATGAATAACCGTGACCTACAGGTTAAGGTGTCTGTGCATATAACAAATCGACTGAGAGACAAGTGAAAACGAAACAGTTATCAAGAGCACATGACGAATATCCATATTCCTTAATTGATAATCATATATATGTAATAGATCATAAGATTGATGCTATCCCATCCTTCGTGGTTTTTCCAATTAAATTAGTTTATAAGGGAACTCTACACATGCAAAATTTCATGCATCCGTTTTCTTCTCAAAAACACTTTGTACATATATCATAGATATTGTAGTAATTATCAGTTAAACAAAATCAGCATGTTGCATTTCATAGTGATAATAACTTAAAAATGTTAGACCGTCAATGACGAACTGGAAACACTAAGTGCATTTCGTCCTAATATGTAAATACTCAACACTGAGAGTGCATGATCTCGCAACCGATTTGAATGTTTACGTAGTGTATTAGGGAACTTGAGAATATAGCACACTGTTATTCTATTACATTTTGGTTTCACGCATATGAATCTGTACATTATGAATTCTCACTTCACTGACTCTAATCATCATTCAATACGTGGTAAGGAAAACTCTATTTATGAGAATTAGTGATACAATTATATGCTAAGTAGATAACCCTGTCATTTAAACTCATGTCATCCCTCATTATTCGTTTCATCTGCATCCTATGTTTCACATTATTGACAATTACTTCGGAAGTATTCACTTCAATGAATTCTCAAACTAAACCAATTCAACACATGTACACATATTTCTTACTGCCATCTCCTCTCATCAAACTGTTTCTGAAAATATCCAGCATAACAGTAATAGCATATGACCCATACCCCTCTTCCTCTAATTTTATGATTTATTCTATAATGAACTTGTATTATATCCTTATTCAGACATGTATATAATCACGCCGGTTTTATGATGTGCGTTTTTTTAAATAATATACCTAACTTCTGGTTATAGTTTCTATGTTATCTTTAGAATATACCATTTTTTTTTCAGAAATCAAACTATCTCTTATCTAACCGTTCTACAATCCTTGAATTATTCAATAATCTGTTATAATTTGAAAAATTTCATCCTCTTCACACATAAGAATAATTTTGAGTAGATTCTTCGACTAATTATAATATTTTAGTCAACCATATTCCATGGGATATTATCATTTACGTACTTACTGACTTATGCCTGTTACTCTCAATGAAGCATAGGCCGACGACCAGCATTCTCCAACCCACTCTGTCCTGGGCATTCTTTTCTAGTTCCATCCAATTCTTCTTCATTTTTCTCATATCTATCTCCATTTCTCGGCGTAATGTATTCTTTGTTCTTCCTCTCCTTCTTCGGCCTTAAGTATTCCATGTGAGGGCTTGTCTTGTGACGCAGTTCGGTGCTTTCCTCAATGTGTGTCCTATTCACTTCCAGCGCTTCTTTCTGATTTCTTCCTCCACTGGAATCTGATTTGTTCTCTCCCACAGTAGGTTGTTGCTAATAGTGTACGGCCAACGGATCCGAAGTATTTTACGTAGACAACTGTTAATAAACACTTGTATCTTTTGGATGATGGATTTCGTAGTTTTCCAGGTTTCCGCTCCATACAGTAGAACTGTCTTGACATTTCTATTGAAAATTCTGACTTTGGTGTTGGTTGCCAATTGTTTTGAGTTCCAGATGTTCTTCATTCGTAAATATGCTGCTCTTGCTTTGCCAATCCGTGCCTTCACATCTGCATCGGATCCGCCGTGTTCATCGATGATACTGCCCAAATATGTAAAGGTTTTTACATCTTCCAAAGCTTCTCCGTCAATTGTGATTAGATTGTTATATGCTGTGTTGTATCGGAGAATCTTGCTTTTCCCTTTGTGTATGTTGAGACCTATTGCTGCTGAGGCATATTATCATTTATTTCAGTAAAATATTTGATATGTATAGATATTTTAAAACTAGTTTTACTGGTTCGGATAATTTCCCCATTAGATGGTCACTGATTTTCGGTAACTTTACAAAATTATCATCTGTCTCCTCGATTGAATGCTACTTGTTATATCTGTTTGTCGCTGTTTGTTATGTTGGAATAGCTTATCACTTATACTTATCAAGTGATGAACCACTGCAATTTGTTTGACGTGAAAGTTAGGACATAAATACTGGTACAATTGAAGGTTTATTAACATCAAAACGCGACAACGACGACCCTAATTGAAAATACACTCATTAATATATTGATTGTACACACATTTCTATTAATAATTAGCATGAAATCACATATATGTAAAATACTTAGAGTTATAACAAATCATATGCTGCATGTGATTCTAAGCGTATTTCATGTCAATTAAATACAAGAATGTCGTACGTCATACAGAATATAATACCATACGGGAAAACAGAAACAAATACTACACAGAGAAATTATCACATAAAATTAAAACGGAAGTACTATTGAACAAAAATCATAATAAGTAAAAGAATGTAATTCTGACTTTTCTTCCCGTCTTATCAAGTTATGTTTTATTGAGTTAATTTTTTGACTCTAGGTGTTAATAAACTAGATATAAAGTGATCTGAACCGCGTTTTATTACAATTTAACACAAATTAACATGTAAATTAATGCGCTTCATTTTAGTTGACGCCATATTACTTAACAATTTTTTTCTTTTGAAGGTGACACTATAAATTATCAGACAGATGACATGATTATCCATGTAATTTGATCAGTTTAAATGACGAGGTAACATCAAAATTATTATAATTCAAATATTCTTTAATCAACGTTTAACTCATACATTATAATTTTAATGGTTAAGATCATAAGTTAATTGAAAATAGACGATCATGAAAAACCTAGAATCACTGAACGTTCGTTTTATCCTATCGTGGAACTTCTGAACAGTGCACATCTACAATCCTGCCTCTCAAGATTCAAACCCAGAACCTATTGGCCTCGCGCGTGCCAACGCCTAACCTCTAGACCATTTAGTTGGCCAGTATTCAACGGTGTTAATGTTAAACTTCAACTAACTTCATATATTATAGTTGACAATTATGAATTGATATTGAAAATAGTTACCTAAAATTATATATATGCCATAGATTATCTGACGAACTGACATAAGTAACTTACATAAATAACCATAATACAGAACAATTTTCTTTCTACTTCTAAATTATATTTTCATTAAATTTTTACCTATCAATTGTCAATTACATAATACGAATATTGATTTAATCATATTTAAGTTACATGTCAAATGAGAAAAAAAATAAAATGACATATCTTCATTAATCAATATTTTTATTAAATATATATGAGAAACTTATCATGAATAAATATATATAATTAATTCATTATTATGTAATTAAAATGGTGAATTATTTTCTATTATATAAAATACATAAAAGTGTTTGTAAGATTATCAGTAATCATAATTTAATGGTAATAATAATAATAATAATCATAACCTATTTTCCATTATATTAGATCTCATTATGGATAATTTTCCTATCTTATGTTTATTGTCAAAACGCTAGTATTGATGAATATTATGATGGTAAGTAATTCTATATAAATATTTCTATATAAAACCCCTTCTGACAAGAATCAACATATGCTCACTAGTGACTGGCTTCAAGAGGTATATCATGGAGTTCTATTGAAAAGTAGTGACCAGTGGAGTTCAACCAGGTCTGTTGTGGGATAGTAACTCACTGAAGACTATGGTGAACATTAACACCGTTGGATGCCGGCTCAGTGGTCTAGTAGATAAATATTATACTTATAATGTTTACATTAAAAATAATATTTTTTTAGTGAACCATTTTCTAATTTGACTAGAAAAATATCATCTGGTATAGGATCCAGTGATGAATTTATTGCAACACAATAACCTGACTGGGCAGTATACTCATCATTTCCTTAGCTTTGTACTTCGACATTGCAAATGAAATCTTATTAAAACCCTTAGTTATAGAATATGCACTATATGTTCTACGGATATAGTTGAAGATTAGCTAAACACCCTGCATAATACTTTTAGAAAGAACGGTTACCCTAGAAAATTTATAATTAAATATGTGTGATGATGTAGGTGAAAATAGGTGAATATTATTTATAGTAACTAAAGATTAAGTAACAATAATGTGATACACATTTAAACATAATCTCACCATTCAAACCTATAGAATTGATATAAATTGAATGCGTTTTATGGAAAAAAAGCATGTTGAATTAAACATTATTCGTTCAAATAATGCATTCATTCAAAGATATGCTTTATTGAAACATGATATATATATATATATATTTGTATCATAATGAGTCTCAAAATTCTTTAGAATAAATATAATTCACTGAAGAAGTGATTTACATTAAGTCACGAAACATCAGAAATACAATTTTTCGACTCATTAAGACATAACAAACTATAAATTTATTCATTGGTTTTCTATCCAGTATCCCATTTAATTGAAACTGTCAATTTCAATCTTGACATTGTCACCCATAAACTCATTAATACAGATAATAAGCTGTACTAATCACCACTAACAAGTAAGAACATTTAATGATACCTCGTGAAACAGTTTCAAAATTGTTTATTTCATATGCGAATTTTTTATCAGTATAGGGTTGTGGAGATTATTAAGATTTTGATTGATATCATGAACCGAACGATGTTGGACTACCATTGAAAACCTGGAGGCACAATAGAGTGAAACAGCCGTCCAGTACTTCCAGGTTTTCAATGTTGGTACAACATCAATCGGTTCATGATCTCAATCAAAAAGAATTTTTTTTATCATGGACTAATCCAGTTTGCAGTACATTAAATATGTGATTGTTTTTTTTGTGGTTTACCACTTCTCAACATTACTCACCTACTATTATTACTAAAAAAATAAAATATGGAATTACCAAACCTCCTGTAAAGTATACTATTTAAAACCATTGATTTGAGATTCATTTATTCATTAAGTTCAGCATATAGAATGATCATAATTCGTTGTATTAGATAAACACTATTTCACTCATAAATGATACATTTTACGTAATCTCGTAATACATCCAACTGAATTGATTTATGATTGTTAACATATATATATTGAATATACTACCCTAGAATCAATGACATATTCAACATAATTATCTATTCCAGATATCATTGAAGAAACTCGATTAAAAGTTGCCGTTGTAACAAAAGGGAAAAATCATAATCCTGTTTCACTAATTAGAAAAATGTTTAAACGTTATTACAAAGGTAATGATCATATAAAGAGATATTTTTATTTATTTATTTATTCTAAAAATTGGTAGTAGTAATAATAATATCATAGGAACATAGTGGCTAGCCACTATCCATCTTTGCTTAAAAAGCTTGTGGCAATACGCACAGGATGCATATATGGCAACATGAAACTGATCAATTGCAGTCCTAAATAACAATGTGAAGATACCAATAAAATAACACCAATGGAATTTACAAGTTCTATATTTGTAATATCATTAAAAGATTACGTATGGATTGTTAAACTTATAGTTTACAACATCGCAGAAGTTAGATACACAAACATGGATACCGGAAATCAGTAAACTTAATATTCATCTTATTATCGATGAAGTTTATTGATGTGAAGTATGCGATTTTATCACTGATTTTAGCTGAGAATGTTACTGTAATACCTGAAAGTAATTCAAATTTGAAATATCACCACTGATTTCTTGCACAGTGGTTTAATTGAAAAGATCCCTTCACAAAAAATACATTGCTCACAGATTTGAACCGTTGCGCCATTCTAAGTGAATATTGTAGCGTATTATGCTACAATGAAAAAATACGTTTCATATCCCTTGTATGACTTTCCAGCTAAAGTCGCTACCTTATTTAAAAGAGTTATTCACTGTTATTATAATTAACTGACGTTGACTATATCAGAAGGGTTCTGAGGAGTCCGACAATGGAACGAAACAACCGTCCAGTGCTTCCAGGTTTTCCATGTTGGTCTAGCTTCAATTGACGCATGATCTCAACCACTGAAATAACGTCAATTATACAATTTAGCTAAATAGATGATTTTTCACGACCTAAAATATCCTTTTTTTATTCTATAGAGAAAGCAGCTGACGAAGATGACTATATTGAAGAGGTTGAAGAGACGACAAAAATTATTTTTGGTAAAGTAGACAAAAAGAATATATCAATTCTAAAAGGTTTCTGATTGTATATGTATGTTTTTTGAGATAGGAACATCTTTCACTATCTACCATGATTCGAATCAAATAAAAAAATATAGTCATTGTTTTCCAATTAAATGTTTTCTGATTTTATTTCTTAGAGAATGTAATGTAAATTAGCAGAGAAAAAGTATTATGTAACCAAAATTTATGTATATTACCATAGCTCTAAAGTATAAATTTATTATTGCGATAAGAAAATAACAACTAATATCCTGTAATGGCTCTTGGTAACTTCTCCTGGAACCCCTCTTGGGCTGCTGACGTCCCAAACCCAGATAAAAGAGGAGGCTCGGGCATGGAGTTAGCGATCCCACTCCGTAGAAAACTAACTCACTCATAAAAAGCTAACCAGAATGGCTCTTAACGTATTATCATTCATTCTCCCCCTTTTCTTTTAATACTATTAGACGATTTCCAAATCGAATGTACTGAATTAATTAACTTTTAAACTCTATATGAATATTTTAGAAGATATCCAGTTTATATTGATATTTGTACTGTCACAGTAAAAGATAAATGTTACAAAATATGATTTTACTTTTTAAAAAGGTTAAAATCTAAACAATGAGCTAAATACAATGCATTACTTAAACTTATTGCCTCTTCTAATATAACAATAATACACGAGATACCCAATTACACTAAAATTACAATACAAATAATGTGCTACACGAAACAAGAAAAACCTTGAAATTCCACTTTGAAACTATTTCGTGTGAGATATTTCTAACAGGATAAATCACATGACAATGAGTGAAATGAGATGATATATCAATTATCTTTTTGATTCATCAGATTATATTCATTAATATAGCTACAGAATCTTGTTAAGTGTTTGCAGAGAGTTAACAGAATACCTTAATATCTATGTTTAGTATGGATTTATCTGGGAGATTTATCGATTTTCTTGACAGAAATGATGTTTCTCGTAACATATGAAACTATATTAGTCAATGTCAATCTTAAGAACTTTACACTCAACTTAATGGAGGCTTTGAAGTACAAAATTTATTAAAAATAATAAGTGAAAATCGTCATAAATATCTTGCAATTTAGCTCATGTTACCATGGACATTGCTGATAATTAATTCATTAAAAAAATTGATTCCGTGCTATTTGGGTTTTCATTTAAATTCATGTCACCTTCTGTACCTGTCAGAGCTATAATAGTTGGGTATTTGAATTTTGACCTCCCGTAGGTCTGATACATTTGCTTTAACGTGTTAGCATAGAATATCGTTACCTCTAACCTTTAATGTTATTCTTGAAGATTAAATTTAGATAATGGTTCAGGTGAACCTAATAGAATGGAGAATTATCATAAAACCGTGGTTCGAAATTCTCCAGTATCGATTCGATCGTCTATTAAAAGCTTTTTTGACTAGTGAACATATTACAGGTTATTACATAGAATTTGATTACAAATATGGATTATGTAACAGAGGTTTGATTGTTATAAAAATATAAACTTTCAAATCTCGATTAAAGAATAAACATTCATGAAGGTATTAGGAAAAATCATTAGTGGTAACGTATCTCAACTTTATTATTTATATTTTAGCCATGATTGTGGATTATTCGAAAGGTCTTTTAGAAAAGTGGAGAACATTTGACTATATAATTAGACTAACAATCACCTATAAACAATATATCAAAAGGGATTTCGTGGATGTTATGGTAATATTTAATAGTGGAATTCATGAGTCAATTAAAGCTAGACCACTATGGAAAAACTGATCACTTTAACAGATTATTTTGTACGTTTTTGAATTTGCTTATGCCTGTTTATGCATACAAGTCAATCTAACTTATAACATCATTACATATTCAAATTACGATAATCTAAATTTACACAATAAAAGTAGAAAATAAGTTCACATTCATGACATTTATGTTAGACAATTCCAATACAATGAGTTAGCACATCACTTAAATGCATCTTTGATAACATTCGAATTTCCTTTGAATATGACTAAACAAATAGAATGAATATATTCTTCAATTCTATATGGAAAGAAACGATCGGTACAAAATTTATACATGTCCAAAGTACATTGATTCAAGGGTGGAAGTAAACCGATGAACGATTCGCAGATATCATTTTATATAAGTTTTCAACAAAAACTATCAAATAAAAGATAGTAAGAAACAGGAAATTCATAGAAATATTCAACAACAAAAAATGTCATATTGATAATGAATGATAAAATATCGAACAATTTAAAAGTTCCCTTACAGTGTGTTGTAGGTAATCTGTATTTCAAAGATTTGCAAAGACCACACATTGATTAGTTATTAAATGAAAATAGTTTGAATTTTAATGAACACTAAATAAGATAGTAGAAACTGTTATAAAAGTTATAACCATGTAATCAAATATATAATTGAGAAAAATTCAGCTATCTGTGAAATATTTTGTATCGAATTCATTTGCTTTTGTTAGTTTGTATCTTCCCATTATCCATCTTTGCTTATAAAACTTGTGACTTAAGGTAATATTGAAGCAGTTTGCACTGGATACACATATGCCAACAAGAAACTGATCAATTGCAATGTTAAAGATCAATTTAAAGATTCAAGTGGTTTATATGAAGCAGTAAGTATAATGGATAGGTTCTTCATCAAAAGTAATGGTAGACGATGGTATTAGATAGACTGTGGCTATTCTAGGATATATTTTTGCTAAATATCAAACTGGAATGATTTGAGACCTTATCAGCCGAGCCAATGAATCCTTCTCTTCCATATGTATATATGTGCTCGAATCCTATTGATAGCATTTGCTTCACTCTGCTGCGGTTTGGTTCGATTTGACTATAAATTTGCCTCCGTATTCACTTATTCACACACATTAGCCTCTCTGCTCCAATAAGCTCTATATGCATGTAACATTGTTATCCGTGTTATCCGCTCATAAATTGTAGTCACTGCTTCTTATCACCTTCTGAATTCAAGCACCGTTGGGATTTAGATAACAACGGTTATCAAGGTGATTGATTAACAAAGTTAAGACTCTACAACCTCTATATCTCAGGACTCATATATATGTATAATTAATGAGTGGAAATGGATAGGACATACATTACGCAAATCATCAAAGTGTATCACGAGGCAAGCCCTAACTTGGAATCCTGAAGGTAAGCGGAAAAGAGAAAGGCCAGAGAACACATTACGACGGGAAATTGAATTAGATATGAAAAGGATGAATAACAACTAGAAAGAGCTGGAAAGGATTGTCCAGGACGGGGTCGGATGGAGCATGCTGGTGAGCGGCCTATGCTCCTTCACGAGAAGTAGCAAGCGTAAGTAAGTAAGTAATCAGTGGTCATTTTATTCTCAACTAATTATGTTCCGCCAAAATTTAAATACTTTAAAACCATTCTACGTGTTATATAATCATATAATCTGTTAGTTGTTTCAATTCAGTTAGTTAATATTTTATTTATAACAAAAAATATTCAGAAAACGCCCATTTACTATAATATATTTTTAGAATTTTTCAACACTTAAACTTAGCTGACTAATCTCTTATATTATCAGAAGAGGTTTAGTGAAGATTATAGCAATTTTATAGTTCAGTACATGTGTCAATTAAAGCTAAACCACCATGGTAAACCTGGAAACACTAGACGGCCGTTTCATCCTATTGTTGGACTCCTCAGCAGTGAATATCCACGAGGAGCCCTATACTAAGACAAAACGGCCGTTCAGTGCTTCTACATTTTCTATGGTGATCTATCTTCAATTTACTTATGAATTTAACTATTCTCTTATATATCAACTTAAATAATATTTAAAAATTATAAGTAGTATATCACATAGTCGTCATTAAAATGATTAACTATAAACTATACTATAAATTAAATAATTTGATTAAAGAATAAATATAATTACAATCATTGTACATTGTTAGCTTTCAATTATCATTTTAATATTATTAGAAATTAAAGTAGAATAAATGTATATTTCCTTTTTTTAAAAAAAACAAACTACAACAATTTAAAATATCCACCTAAATTGAAATGAATGTCAATCATGTATAATAATAATAATAATAATAATAATAATAATAATAATAAACGTTACATAACTAACTCTACAGTTGTATTGCAATTATGTAATGGTTACTACCACTTTATATTATTAATAGTATAGTATGTATAATTAATATTGTATATTTTTAAAAAATTCTATTTGACTGGCATTATTAAATTCTAGTAAATAAGTATAAATAGATAGTAAAATTAATATAGACAAAGTATACTGATTATTATCTATGCATGTTTTGGCACAATATACAGTTATATAACAATCTGTTTATTATTCTATTAATATTATATACATTTGATTGTTTTATATGTTTTCCAATTTTTGATAATGAATGTGGTTCTACACCATTTATATTTAATCCTAATGGTAATATATATTCACATAAAGGTTATGAAAAACAATTAAATTATAATGGATTGATTCAATGTTTTTGGTTTATTCATATCAATCCACAAGATCGTATTATTATACAATCAATTGATTTTGATCTAGCTGATAATTCAATTCAATGTGATGAAGATAGTTTAATAATTTATGAATCAGATAATTATCAAATTAATAATATAACATATTCAGAAATGGATACATTCACAAAACGAATTGGTAAATATTCATATTGTGGATCAAAAAATTTTAGAATATTGTCTAGTTCTAATCAGCTATTATTAATATTTAAAGCACAATCAATTGGTAAACATAAAGGTTTTAATCTACGTTATTCAGCTATAAATTCTAACTTGGCAAATATAATTGAATTTTCATCACAGTCGTTTATAATGAATAGGACATGTGACTCATCATTTGAATGGAAATGTCCAACATCCCAATGTATATTGAAAATATGGAGATGTGATGGATTTTCTGATTGTTCAGGTTCGGAGGATGAACTAAATTGTTTCAGCCCATTTTCAAAAATATCTCTTTTGAATAAAAGACAAAAGCGATCCGTTTATGATAATGAAGAAAACTGGGGTCGTGTGGTCAATGGTCAACCGGCTCCAAAAGGTGCTTGGGCTTTTATAGTTTCTTTACGTTTCTCTGGAAATGGGGTACATGTTTGTGCAGGCAGCTTAATTAGCGCACAATGGGTAATGACAGCTGCACACTGTGTTCAACCAATGCCAGATCCAAAGCGATGGTTTGTAGATGTTGGAAGATACTATAAAAACACTGGTGGTCCTGAAGTTCAAAGAATAAAACTTTCACAAATTGTTATACATCCGTCTTACAATAAAAGAATTTACGCCAATGACATAGCACTGTTACGTCTACAAACTCCAGCTAATTTAAATAATCGTCAGGTCCGACTTTCTCCAGTTGCACGTAGTTCTTATTTATCCAATTTATTAACCACTAATGTTCAATGCATGGTTGCTGGTTGGGGAGATACACGTAATACAGGCTCAAATGATGTTCTAAGACAAGCAGTTCTTCCTGTTATTAATTATGATCTTTGTAAATCATGGTATTATTATCTTAATAGTGCAAGCTTTTGTGCTGGATACAAGCAAGGAGGAATTGATGCTTGCCAAGGTGATAGTGGGGGACCTCTATTGTGTTATGTTGGAGGTCAAACTGTTCAAGCTGGAATTGTATCATGGGGTAACGATTGTGCAAAACCAAGAAGTCCAGGAGTTTATACTAATGTGGCTATGTTTTTTGACTGGTATTCAAGTGTTTTGTAAACTTTCTTTTTTATAAAAGCATTTAGCAATTTTAATATAATAAATAAGGTAACTTTAAATAAGGTTTGAATCAATGAGAAGTTGTCTGGTTTGCCATAAGTAATTGTCCAATAATCAGTCTAAATTAAAAGAGTTTCCATTTCTTTTGTCATATATGTTAAAGGTTGTTATTACGTAATAGTGATATTTACCCATATGATTATTTGAAAGTATCCACAAAAAAGTAAAAAATAATGTCTGTAATTAAAAGTACCTGATATTCCTATAAATGAATAAAACCAATTTTAATGGTGTAGTTATCAACCGAACTCACGTTTTATTACATTGATGGTTTGAATTATTTTTACTGGTTAGCGTTGTTTTAGCGAGTTAGTTTTCTACGTGATGGAGTCGCTAATCCCATGCCCAACCCTCCTCATTTACCCGGGTTAGGGACCGGCAGTAACTCTAAAAGAGCTACAGGCCGAATTTATTACATTGATAGTCTGTACTAATAAACGTTTATCGAATACTCGTTGAAAAGGAATTTAGATTTGTTCCTATACTAACTCAAATCCGAAATTCTATATTGAAGTGCTACAGGGTCATAATTATTTAAGAAACATTTATTAAGTTTCTTATGAGTAGGAGTATTTTAAATGTCATTGTATGATTAGGATAAATAGGTAAACCTTAGCAATCGTATGTGTTAATTCAATAGAAATGAGTTTGTTTTTATGTATGATATTTATATTTGCGATCGTATTGTAATGATTTACTAAGGGTAAATTAACTATATTGTACTAAACATCCTAGAATTAGTATTGATGGAAATCCAAAAACTTTATTCATTGAATAAAACTGTAGCTATTACTCTGATGGAGTGGTTGAGCTTGCTAATCATAATTTCTAACCGGATTGCCTGCTTTATAGGTCCTACTGTAGTGAATAATAACACCAGTGGGAGCAATCGAATGTATTTGAGTACAAAATTACAGAGCATCTAACTAAAATCTGAGAACCATATTGTAAATCGTTAATTTGAAAAAAGAATGCATCATCTTAAACTTGATTGTTCCTGTCGCAAACATCAATCCCTTGTCTCAGATTTCATTGTTTATGCGTTTTCATGCCGATCGCGTTCCCTTCCCGTTCTTTTCTCAACGACTTTCTACAGAAATACATTTTATGCTTGAACACTGTTACATACTACTTATGTGGATATAAGTAATCCATACCACTCTACCATGTCAGTACGGTAGGTTAAAGACGGATAAGACCAAAAGCACTAATCGTAATGTTGATTGATGGTTTGTAGTGAGGTTTCATTAAAGTAAGCTATTTCCCCTCGAGAATCAACATCATCAATAATGCACCTCCATAACGGAAGGAATGAGTTTAAAAAAGCCAGATGTTAAAACTCCCAAACATTTTCTTACCACAACGGTTGGCAGTTCCTCTAGAACAGCTCTAATATTACAGAGTTAATTCATCAAAAGCTACACACGAAAAGTCATCTGTGACTGGGTATTTAGTTGATACCGCGCATTTTGCTGACATTTCCTAATCCTTCAATATTATTAGCAGAAAAAAATTACTCATTGAGATCATTTACTGAACCATTTTAGATCACTGTTGAAAACATAGAAGCACTGGACGGTCATTTCCTCCTGATATTGGACTTTAAAACAGTGCGCACTCGAAATCCGACACTCAATAATGAAACCCATCACCTTTAGTCTTGTGAATCAATGTACAACATCAAGATCACTGAACTGCGATCCAATGTTGCACAGCTCTGATAATCTTCAATTGTTTTGGACGAGTAATTGTCTTACATCCGACAGGGTTTAGCTCCATTGATCATGACAGTTATGACAGTTACCCACCAAAGACAGTGCAAGATTGTCACGCAATACCGTGAATTGATTAAGGCTAGACATTAACGCTTTTATGTGCCGGCCCAGGTGTCTATATTTAAGACGACAGTGAACAAGACTGAAGGTTTTAGGCTCGGTTCCTGAGTGGGGGATAGTGGATACACACTTCTGTAGAGTCCCATACTAGGACGAAACGGCCGTCCAGTGCTTCTTTGTTTTTCGTTGATGACCTAAATCAGATCGGTTCAAGATTTAAACAACAGTATCTTATAATTTTGCTTGGTTTATTATGAAAACTTCAATAAACTAAATGTCATTTCAAGGACATTTAAATCACTCATTCGTCTTTTTGTTTTTCATTCACCCGATTCTCTCCTCAAGTCTGGCATAATTATTATGTAGCCCATTTGATCGGTTTCAAATTAAGATAATTACTACTTCATTACTCTTTATCTTCTGTTTACCGGGAGATCTGAAACTTATGTAACCTCATCAAATCTTCTATAATTATCACAAAATCCATCTTACCAGTTTACAGACTCTATATGATTACCACTTCATCCACTAAGTTTATGAATTTTATCACCAAGTGACCTCATACTTGCTCGCGTATTTATATATAGTAATTATTGATAATGTTTATCATTTTAGTTCTTTCCATCATTAATGTCGATTGCTTCATACTCTATCATATCTCAATGTTACATTTCAATACATATATGGTTGTTATTCTGACTCAACTTCGCAAAGACAACCAACTGTATAAAATGATTAGTGTTATTTATTCAGATTGATTTAAACTATTCGTAAAAATATATATTAAGAGCATTATTTTATCAAAACGATTATGAAAATTATTCCTTGAACAAGCTGATTATGATGGACTTTTGATCGTGCACGACCAAATCATCCAGCTCACAGAACAAAACTCCATCAAAATCATCCATCTGAGCTACAAATCTTCATCATCTCACAATCTGATTATGATTTTTATTCAATAAAAATGTTTATTTTACATTAAATGACTATTTCTTGATAATATCTAGTGACCAAATTCATTCAAATTTGTTACATTGAACTAGGATTAAAATACTTTGATAAGTAACTGAATAGATGAATATCAAATCAGTTTTGATTGATTAAAACAATATGTCGTTTATTATATTAGTTCTAATGAAGATAATATCTCTAAACAGTTATTATTCAAAATATTTCAGCAATAAAATATTGATTTGGATAGTTGAATTCATGAATCGATTAAAGCTAGACCACCATGGAAAACCTGGAAACACTGGACGGCCGTTTCATCCTAGTGTGAGACTCTTCAGCATATCTCGAGGGTTTCGAACACTTAACCTTTAGTCTCACTCGCGAACGCTTAACCTTTATTTCATATACATTTTTTATCTTAGAGTTCGTTATGTAATGAAGAGATAACTGAAACATCAATTTATTTTCGTAAACAAATACGACCAACGAAAACTAGTTAAAATCACTTAACTAGTTGTTTATCAAGTGTTAAATACTTTGCGATAATCTTTCTTTGCTCCAGTTGCTTCAATTAAAGTTTTCATTGCAAGGTTAACTCAAAACAACTTCAGTAGTTTGAATATGTGCTCATAGTTTAATTTTTTTAACGAAAAAACAATTACATTTTTGTTACATAGATTTAAGAAGTCATAAAATTTTTATATGTGACCTTGTTTAGCATAAATATCTTAAATAAGTGGTCGATAATAGTTGTTTTATATGGAACTCAAAACAACTGTCAACCAATATCAAAATGAGAATCTTCAATACACAGTTCTACTGTATGGAGCTGAAACTTCGAGAACTATCACGAATATCATCAGAAGGGTGCAACTATTTATAAACAACTAATCGATAGCATTCGATCTACAATAAGAAGAACTTGACACATCTGGCATTGATCACCACTCAGTGATTAATCAGTTGTGATTACATCTCAGTCTTACAGGAGGTCGGTCGCGGCCCGGATAGCTCAGTGTTAACGTCTCTGACTGAAACTGGGTGACACAGGATCGAGTCCTTCAGGAAGCACTAGTTCCCTCAAGGTTACAGGCACACCTTGCTGACGAGTGCCAAATAGTACGAAACCCGTATCCAGGGTTTCCTGTTGACTACCTCCAACCACCATCTAATCTCAACATAGTGAACGCAATGTCGATTCACCTAGACTAGTGGCCACATTTCAACTTGGTCGATAGCATTCTATCTGCAGTAAGAATTGTGACAAACAATTGTTCACAAAAGTTACTCAATGTCCGTTGGCTAGATACCAACCGTAACAGCCTACCGTAGACTAGATACAAACCAGCTTCCAAATGACAAAAGAATTAGAAAAAAACATTGAAAGTGGATAAAAACACATTGAGGAAATGATCAAACTAAATCATGATGACAGCGTGAACTTGAAATCTTGAATGAAAACAAAAAAAATGGAAGACTAAAGAATATACTGCGCCAAGAATTAAAATCAAATATGAAAACCACACATAACAACTGTAACCGATTTTCGAAGACAGAGTTTATCATTAAAACAAACAAACTGTACACTGAAAAGAAAGAAATTGTGATATTTTATGTACTTTGTTCCCAAGACTTCTTCATTATAACTAAATGTGATTCATATGACATTCTTAATAATTTATGACTATTTTGTTTTTCTTAAAAAGGTTGAATAAAATCTAGTTTAATATAAGTGAAGTGAAATATTACATATCTTGAATGAATCTAAACAGTACAAATTGCTTAGGGGAATTTATGGTGTTTAATTTAATAAATAACCATTTAAAAATGAAGAATATTTGAGCGAACAATTGTTTTCAATAACTTCATCATCATGGGGTCTACAGTTATAAGTCCATAATGATTGTGATAGTTTTACAAAGGCCAAAAATAAGGCATGTATCAACGGAATTTGACAACATTATATGTTAAAAATGCTGAACGTTTGCATCTGTTACGATATATGTATACTTCAAAATTGTATTAATTGCAAATTAGAAAGGTCATTCAATAAAGTTCAGGATGATTAGGAGTAAAGTGTCCAGTCACAATAAATAGAATAGTATTATAGCTTATGTATCCAGAAAAAGTATATCCAGCCTCTATGTTTACCTTGGCCCACGGCTGGATCACCGGATACCTAAACCAAATATTATAAACATCTTATCCCC